CTATTTTATACTGTTTATGCTTTTGGTCTGTATCGGAACATGACATCCCGAGATTTTGTTATTTAATGAAAATACATTTCTTTAAAGAAATGCTTTGATAAATTCTTATCACATTTTGTTTTGGGAACAAATTCCGCAACTGTTTTCTGTAAACGATTACTCTGATTTTAAAACAAAGCATAAACAAATCGGTCTTTTCTGTCCGTGAAAATGGGGATGTCACATTAACTTTATTGATTTAAGGTTTCATTTAAGCAACCTTGGTACATCGAATTTCCTCACACGATGGTTTTTCCCTATCCAAAAATGACAAAGTTCACGAACTTAAGTGTTAGTGTCCTTTCAGGTTTTGACTTTGTCGGACTACAACAATTTTCATGTTATCACCAACATAAGTATTTTTAAGAATATCAGAGAATGGTCTCAGATAAAAAATCTTTACTTATTCCTGATAACGAGTCTATGAAAACATTCTCTATAGGCTAATTCTCTACATATGTGATACCTAGGAATGTATACTTTTATCACTTGGTCAAGTTTAACTCGTAACATATCGTGATTCTATACAAACTTGTAACACATGATGATAAGATCTAAGGTAAGATTGTTCCATTTACCCATAGGCATCAGTAAAGGGCTCAAGCTGCCTCACGATATTTGATGCCGTTTTCTCACTTTCCAACCAAAATATCCATTCTACCATCTACATAACAACAGTTGAAGCTAATAACTCTTCTCCTAGCTTCTTGTATTGCAACTCTTTTGGATCTTGATGTTTGAATCCAAAGTCTAGTTGCATTTCACAGTTTTTCTTTAAGGGTTTGTTCTCCCCCACTTGGGTTTGAACCCCTACCTACTGCTACTCACAACTGATTAAAGCCTAACTGGCTCGGTTTATGTGATTCGTAGGTCTTTTTCTTACTGGAAGAAACTCCTGATTTTCATATTAATGACTCTAACATCCCCAACATAATATTAATGTTTGTGTTTAAAATGAGTGATCTTCTCACATAGCACGACCATAGTATGATTAAGATCATGACAAGCACGAAGTCATCCACTAAAACACATGTATGCAAAAATGGTGTAAGAGAATATTACTAACATAATGGAAATATTATCAACAATAACGGTTGTTGAACTCAATATTATTCGTCCATTATTCTAACTTTATTATTTAAAAAATTAAAAAACAAATTCCCCTCCCCACCCAACTACCCCTCGCTCCACCCTCTACCACCACCTCCTCTATATACATATTGCCACCTACCTCCCGACTGCCACCACCGGCCACCGCAGAACAGAACAAAAAATAATAAAAATGAGAAGAAAAAAGCATAGGTTGGGGTTCAAATGCGGAGCTATGCTCTGCATGTTAAAATGCCTAACCAACTGGTAGCGCATGCCACATCCAAGCAACTAACAAAATAAATTATGTTTATGCACTAATGTGCCTTAAATGCCCAACCGGCCAGCTGGGCATGTTCAAATGTTTAACCGGTCGAGCATGTTCAAACGTCTAACGAAATAGATTATGTTTATGCAAACGGTCGGGCATGTTCAAACGTTTAACCGATCGGGCACTGATGGTCTTTTCCATGGTCTCTTACATGTTGGAGATGCAATCTAGCATGTCCGCATCATATTTCTTTGCATCCTGGAGGACATCTCTAGAGATGACATAGTTCATATAGTGTGTTGTGGTGGATATGTTAATCATGATTTCCTCCTTTGTGTCATAATTTTGGATGATTTTGAGTTGCATTGTTGCCAATGCTCTCTGGATGATTTGGAGTTGGCGAATCAGGTTGTTGAGCATTGTCTCCATTTCTTCATATTTCATCTTTTTTGTAGAGTGTGGATGGGAGGAGGAATGATTCGTGTGTTATATAGGGGTTTGGATGGTGTGATTGTAATGGGTGGTTGGTATGGTAGTGGTGTTGTATTTATGAAGCATTAATTGAAGTTATGTGTGATCTTAACTTTTTAGCTATAATTAATCGAAACTGATTTTGCTTCTTAAGAAAGGATGTGTGCATGAAGATGAAAAAACGAGTGATCATTGCATGCATTTAATTTGGATAGTGTTTATCTATTTGGTGATTAATGCTCTTTGACAAATGAGGGTTTGTAGGTGTTATAGGAAGTTGTAAGGGCAGTGGTTATTAGTGTTCAATTGTTAGTGTTTATTCGTGTTTAATGTTTAGTGGCGTGCAGTGTTTATTGCAACAAAATTTGTTGCAAGTGGTGGCAAGGGACATTAGTGCATAAATTGAATTTATTTTGTTAGTTGTTTGGATGTGGCATGTCTGGTCGGTTGGTTAGATGTTTGAATTTCAGGTTCGAACCCGACCTATGTTTTTTTTCTTGTTTTTTTCTGGTGACGTCCGGTGGCAGAGGGTTGCGCAGGGTGGTGGTAGTCTGTGACGGATGGTGGTGATTGTCGAATAGAGTGAAGAGGAGGAGGTGCTAGAAGGTGGGGATAGTGAAGTTATTTTTCTATTTTTTTTATTATTAATAAAATCATACATCTTGAAGAATGGTCCCCTGATGTATGAAAAAAACATTTTACCCTCACGTCAGTTAGACTTAACAGCAAACAACCGAAGGAAATACCAAACATTAAAAGTTTTGAAATTATAGGGACCAACGTTGATGACCTAAAAAATTAAGGATTGAATTTAATTTTTTGAAAACCACATAGACCATTTTTAAAGATTTTTCTTTTATTTATTATCTTTTACATGATTACCAATCTATGTGTACTTTGTTAGTTGGTATTTGGTTTTTTTTTATGAATAAAGAAAATATATAATTACCAATGGCTAGCTAATGATGTAATTATCGAAAATTTATGACATGGAAACACATTCGTTACTCATGTTTTTATAGATTTGGTAATCTAAAAATCTGATATTTTAGAAGGGTTACTTTCAGGTACCGACAGGATAGTGATGGAGCAGAATGTAGGAAATCTTTCTTTTTGGGGTTATTTTAAGATACAGTATGGTCCATGCTTATTAATGTATGTACCCACCTGCATGCGATTTCTAATGCTGCCTCCCCTGGGGGATAGATAGAGGAAGGGTATTAATGTCTTCACACAATATCCCATTCCCATCCTCTCATCTCATATCATCATTTATTACACAAATCTAAACTTACAATTTTATATAACTTGCTACTATCGTATCACCCATCCTAGTACTACTATCGCCCAAGCACGCTTAACTGCGGAGTTCTGATGGGATCCCGTGCATTAGTGCTGGCCAATGTGGGACTAGCCCACTTGGTAGAGGTGGAAGCCTCTTAGACAGGAGGTCTTGGGTTCAAGACCTCAGGCATAGGCGAAGTTACTAACTTGGTGATTTTTAACATCTAACTACTAACCGGCCGTTCAAAAAAAAAAACTATCGTATCACCATAGTTGCATCCTTATAAGGTCACAAAAACTAATTGTTATCTTATTAAATTATTATTATTTTTTTATTTTTACTATTAACTTTGTAATTTTTGAAAGTAATATAGCAAAGAGCTAGCACGGGTTAACCCTTATTATTTATTGCATTCTACTAATTTGGTTGGTTTTTGCTTTTTTATTTATTTTATTATTATTATTATTATTATTATTATTATTTTTGTTGTAATATTATTATTATGGTTGTTGTTAGAGAAAATTACAAATATACCTATCTAATTATTTTTTCACTTAATACCAAAAAGTTAACCTTTAGCCAAAAATAACTTACCAAACAGCAGAGGATGACTAAAAACCTAATGTTTAGAGAGTTTCAAAGGTAATGACTTGCTGATGGGCTACGTTTTTGATCCCATCTACGGATTAGGTGCTCATTAGCCCATATATAAAATTAGAAAACTTCATTTATCTCATTTTTGAGTGTTTGAAGTTAGTGAAACGCTCTTTAGAAACGGCTCCGAAAAAATACTTTCTTTTATATACACTATGGTTTTGGAACTCATAATATGATATTTGAGAGAAAAAAAACAGTACTAAATTTTATTCTTCAAAAGAAATACCTTCTATTTATATATACTAGTAAAAGTATCTATGATATTGTAGCCAAACCAATCTGAAATACTAGTCAACTTCAACAAAACAACACCAAAATAAAAAAATATATAAAAATATGAATAAAAAAAAAAAAAAACGAAACATTAGGTGACGGAGGGAAACAGTAGGTTTTTCGGTCTCACCTATGCTTTTGTTTATAATGAGCATGATGTTCATCCAAATATGAAACAATAGCTTTTTTTAGAGCATACCGTAGGTCAAACCGTAGTACAATGACGAAACTGTAGGCATCTTAGTCTAGGCTACAGTTTAATTGGCTATTTTTGGTTATTAGTAAATTTTTGGTTATTAAATGAAAAATTATTAGTATATTTGACTAGTTTTCTCTTGTCGTTATTAGACAAAAAAAATATGGGTTACTATATTCCTTATAATTTCACAAAATGTGATATTAGACGATGAGCAATATTTTGATATTATTTTACATTTATTCAGTTAAAAGCTTAACAATGATTAATGGTTGCATTAGTGATTTGGTATGCTTTATTCAGCCTCCCTCAGCAATAATGGTTCCTCCTTTTCTTTTTGTGCGAATCTTAATAACCGATCCATTCCAAATACGTCCCACCTAACTAGACTCCAAGTACGACACCTCAACTTTTCTTTGGGAAATCTCCAATAAAGTTATAATATTTTAGGTCAGTTTACGGTTTAATCCTAAATTAAATTTTGTTTACAAAAAATGACAGATTACCGGCTAAAACTTCAATAACACTTTGTGGCCGTTTTCACAAATTTTGTCAGTATCTCATCTTTTTTCATTAATTGATCAAAATTTTGGGTTTTTCTGAAGATTATATTATTTTTTACCCATGTTGAGTTTTTGAAAGCTTGAATCTGCTCGATGGCCCAGATGAGCTTAGGGAGGCTGAGCATGGACTAAATTGAGAGTGGTGGTGGCCACTTTTCAGTTCAAACATGAACCCCCTTGCTCGTTTTTAGCTTGGTTTGTATAGTTGTGTTCTCCTTCATAAGTTGTTACCAAGATTGACTGATCCTCGACACTTTTTTGAACCTAATCCGAACAAGATTAAACAACAAAAACATATTAAAATTTAGAAACTTGAAGTTCGTTTTAGATTTTTGTTTTGAAATGAAGATATATATATATATATATATATATATATATATATATATATATATATATATATATATATATATATATATATATATATATATATATATAAGTTGGCAATGGCTTCTTACCTTCTTTTTGACTGGGCAGGTTGGAGCATGAGTGCAATTGAAATACGCTTTAGGAGAAGGGTTGTCTCTTGTAACCTTTTTGTCCATATTTCCTCCATTGATATCCATTCTTCACAGACTATTTACAACAAATATAACATTTAGATTTATAAATCTTGGCAAATACTAGAAATAACATTCATTAATGTATATAGAATAGATCAGGAGAGGACTTACAAGGCTCACATCTGAAGCTTCTATGCAAACACATACCCTAGAAATCTTGGCCTTAAGGTTTGTTCTTGTCTAGGTTTCTTACAAGAATCTTCATCGCTTGAACCGCTTTCGGAGCTCCCTATCTCATTGTTGATGATTTGGTTCATATGGTTTTCCGATTTCCGTTTCTTGGGGTTGTTGTTGGTGGCGCTATTTGATGGTGTCAGATTCTTGCTTATATAATCAGCCAAATGGTTTTGCAAAGCATTGTAGTTCTCACACATGACAGTCAACATCCCCGTGAACTTCTAGTTCTCCTTTCTTCATTTAGAGATTAAAAGATGATTGCAGAGTTGTGAAATGATGATTTTGGAAAATTGATGGAGTTAACGATGCTTGTGAGTGAGCTTTTTGTTGTTGGGTTCGACGACCACGACAAAAACACACAGTGAGCCTGAAAAGGAGCGCAAGAAAGAAGACAAGGAATGGTACATATTAAATTAGATCATATAATATAATTAATTTAAGGGTAATTGGTAAAAAATACACAATCTTTAGAAAATCCCCAAAATTTTGATCAACTAATGAAAAAAGACGAGATATCGGATAAATCTGTTAAACCGGTCACGAAGGGTTATTTCGAAGCTTTAACCGATAATCTGTTTGTTTTTTTGTAAACAAAACTTAATTTAGAATTAAACCGTAAATTGACCCAAATTATTAAGACTTTATTGAAGTTTTCTCTTATAATTTTAACACATGTTTTAACTCTTATTATGAATTTAATCTTTTTCAATTTCTTCTCGCCTTTTTAAGATGGTTTTTAGGTTCAATTACAATTTTTACAACTATGTTTACATCTTATTTTACAATATTGTATTTTATGAGTTTTTATAGAATTATTTTTTTTAATGTCTTTTTTCTAACCGATGACCTCAACGGACCCATCTTTAACGGCCGATCCAGATTAAACACCCTATGAGGAAGAGAAGAAGTCAATGGTCATCCTCTGATTGAAACCCTTTTGAGACTCGAACTCATGACCTTCTTTGAAGAAGAGAGGACTGCCACTTGTTTTACCCATCAAACCATAAGTGGATGTTTGTTAAATGACTTTCTTACAACTTATTTTACATATTTATGCATCTTTTAAAAGATTTTTTCAGTTTTATTATATCGATATAAATTATATTGTTTTCAAGTACTTTTTCCGTATATAATTTTTAAAATATAATTTTTGTGGACATTCAAATCCATGTGAATTTAATAGACTATATGTCATGTTCTACTCAATTCTACCTATAAGGGTGAATCGGGCATGTCGAGCTCCGTCTCAACCTCTTCACCTCCCCACCTCAGCCAAACTCAACCACATGCTTTGCAAATGAGAGAAACAACACAAACACGCCATTCACGGCATTTTTACTTCACTTGCAGAACTTGAGGGCGATGTATGCATGACACGTCGAGCTCCATGAACTAGGTGCCGTCGTCATTACCACACCATTCGGGTTAGCCTAACTTAAACAAACCCCTTTTTATTAGGCCGGACGGAGTGGACCGCGGGGAAACCGCGGGATCGGTTCCCGCATGAAGACACACCGCACCGTGGGTGCGGGAAAGGAGTAGCGGGAAGAGGGTGGGGGAGAGAGTCTCACTCTCTCTCTCTTCTAACCATTGGCTGTGCGATTTTTTTTCTTTTTTTATTCCAAACGGCTATATAGCCGTTATATATATATATATATATAGATATATATATATAGATATATTATATATATAATATATATATAATATATATATATATATATATATTCTTTTTTCTTTCCCTTTTCTTAACCTATAAATACTCAAACATTCTATCATTTTTTTTAACCCATAACCTATATTTCTCTCTAAAAAATATTATTCAAAATGTCATCATCCGATTCGACGGCTGTAGAGGAGACTAAGTTTATCGGTTCCGTCATGGCGAAAACGGTTGCATACTATCAAAACCGACTAAGCGAAACATCACGTGCACGACCTAAAGTTTCGACGTCAGTTCCGGATGAGGAAGGAACTATTCTTACGTATTGTTGGCGATTTGGAAGGCCGCTTTCCATATTTCCAATGGAAAATGGATGCAAGGGAAAAAAAAAGGTTTCTCTCCCATTCAGAAATGCACGGCTTCAATTCGTCAGCTAGCATACGGCATGGGCGCAGACAAATGGGACGAGTATTTTAGGATGTCAGAGCGTACCGTGCGGGAATGTGTGTACAAGTTCTGCAAAGCGATCTGTTTGGTTTATGGGCAACGATATTTGCGCAAACCAACTATCAACGATATCCACCAATTGTATACGGTGCATGAAGGCAAGCATGGATTCCCTGGAATGCTAGGTAGTATCGATTGCATGCATTGGAGTTGGTCATTATGCCCCAACGCATGGCGTAGTCAGTACATGAGAGGCGACCACAAAGAGCCGACGATCATTCTAGAGGCTATCGCATCACATGATCTTTGGATATGGCATGCATTCTTTGGTCCAGTTGGTGCAAACAATGACATCAATGTGCTAGACCAGTCGCCGATATTCAACGATATCTACCTTGAAAAGTCACACGATGTACCTTTTCAAGCAAATGGAGTAGAATATAAGCGTGGATACTATCTTACTGACGGTATATATCCTCCCTTGTCTGTTTTTATTTAATAATAAAAAATAAAAAAATAAAATAAAAGTGTGGGAAGGGCTTCCCACCCATTCCTTGGCTTTTAGGTGAGTGAAAGGAAAGTGAAAGAAAGAGGGGTATGGCCCACCAAAAATGAGAGAAGCTTCCCTCCCACACCCTCCGGTCTTATACATATTTTTTTACCACAATATTGGATTCCACAATGTTTCTATAAGGATTGCATTGGAACTTGATCTATTTATTAAAAGAAAAGCAAGTGTCGTGGAAATATGTTGGGGTTAATAATGGTCGTCCATCCCCACCATTAACACGATGCCCCTCTTTGTTCCCATAACTCAATACATGCTCATCCAAGTTCCAACCGAATGGAAAATTAATTTACTTATTTTAACTTCTAGGCTTTTAAATGTTTGCCGTCAAAATGTACAAGTCTCTAAAGCTTGTCATCCGGGGATCGTTATATACCATAATTTTATTGGAAACGGCAAATATCATTAGAAAAGTCACGAGATTAGCAAGTGATGAAAACACGGGCAGAGTACAACTGAAAATCAAAGAAAATACACAGTTCTAGCTAAAAGGAGAGATACTCCATCAATCTCACTACAACACACCTTCGAGGTTCGATGTTTAAACCACAAATACGTATGAGTAATAACCTCGTCCGCAATCTTAGCCGAATTGGTATTTAACCCTTTAAATATCTTGTTATTTCTAGCCTTCCAAATGAACCAAAGAAGGGCATAAAACACCACCATAACCTTTTCCTTTTTCCTTGGGCAATTGCCCCATGAAACTGCAAAGTTGAGAAAATCTTTCACACCGATGAATTGCAGGTGTTGTATTCCACACCGTTTTAGGATCCAATCTATAGCCTCCTTCGTGATAGGACACACCACCAAAAGGTTATCAATTGATTCCTAAGATGAATCACATAAGGGACAAATAATTGAGTTTACCAAAATACTCGTACTTGCAAGATTGGTTGACATCGGAATTTTACCTAAAGAAGTTTTCCACACGAAACAGAGGATTTTCAATGGGATTACTTTCATCCAAGTAATGTTCGGACCGTTATACGGGGTGGGTATGGAATCTATCATCTTGCGTAATGTTTTGACAGAATTTGCCATCGGAGTTGAACTTAAAACGAAAACCAATATTGGTGACAACGCCCTGCAGCAAAGATTGTAAAATTTTCAAATCGCGAAGGGTTTCTTCATCCACGCTTTGAAGTTTCCAATTCCAGTGGAAACCTAATGATAAAATTCTCTCTGATACATAACAAAAAATGTTGCCCTCCCTCCTAGAGATTGAGGGTTCAAGTCTCATTGGAGACATAGGTGGTATTAGGAGTAGTTTAGGAGTAGTGTAGATTTGTTGTTCTAAAAAAAACATAACAAAAAATGTTTTGTATTTTGAGATTTAAAGTGGGTAACAAGTCTTTTACATAAACCAATAAATGTTTAATAGACTTTAGTGTCGTCAAAAGTTTTTTATTGTGATTATAATTAATTTGAAAAGAGTTGAGATCGGGTTTTACTTTTTTTTTTCTTCTTGAACGGTTAATACATATATCGGGCGTGTTTGGCAAAAGTAGTTGTTAGCTGGAAGCAGGTAGCGGTTAGCTAGTAGCGGGTAGCTGGTAGCCAGGGCCGGCCCATGGGCCTGGGCAAGCTGGGCGACCGCCCCGGCCCCCAAATACCATAGGGCCCCCATTTTATATGGTTATATAGGGTTATATAATGACAGTCCATTAATTTTAAGCCTAATAGACTAGTTTTTCAAAGGCCCGATACTCTAATCGGCGCCAAGTCCAAACAGGAAGCGGGAACGAGAATTAAACCTACCGTGCGTTTCCACTTTCCAAGTCATCATCATATTTCTATTTGTGTGGAAAATCCAAACGTCCTCTGTCTCCTAGCGATTAGTAACTTCTCCTTCTTCTATTTCTTAATTGTTATTCAAGCTAATCAATGTCTTCTCTTTTGTTTTTTCGATTTTCTGAATTCATCTGCAACACTAGGCAACAACAGAGGATTTCAGAAAACTGGAACTCACATAATCGGTTTTTTCTCCTTCTTATTTCTGATTTTTTTTAAATATCACCAATCGAAAGTTATTCAATTATTTGATTAAATTCGAATCTGACATGCAGGGGCGTATCCACCATATGCTTAGGTAGGTCTTAGGACCTACCTAAGTTCTCAATTTCATTTAGAATTTATACACTAGAAAAATTAGGAACTATCTTAGAAAAAATAAAGGACCTATTTGAGTTTGTTTTTTAAAAAAATTTCTTAAAAAACCATTTTAAAAAGAGAAATATATAAGTTATTAAGGCAATTTGTTATTTTAAATTATGAGATTGATAACAAAAAGTGAACCACTCTTAATCGGCACTCTCAAAATATTAATAAATGAATAAGTTGTTCTAATAAAATAAAAGCCCACATGCTAAATACTCTCACTCTCCGTTTGCCGCTTTATCAATGGACTAATAATCAACTAGTTTTTCGTTAAATCGTACGCATTTTTTAGTTATATTTCAATCGGTTTTTTAAAATTTTTAATCGGTGGCACAAGATACATGAGCCGATTGAACTGGTTCAGTTCTTTTAAG